CCTAGACATCACGACATTCGTCCGACATTTTTGTAATGAAATTCCCTCATAAATTTTAATACAAAAAAATTGGTTTTTACGCTGTCATAAAAGCACTCGGCATTTACGTCAGTTAAACAATCAGCTTGAACAATTCCCCGAGGCCGCCATAGCCATTTCCATCGGAATGACACGAAAAACAGAGAAGAGATTTCAAAATGAAATGGACGTTACATTCGCGTCACAGACGAGTTCAATGTGCTGTTGTTGTACAGTCGAAATAAACAAATTAAACGTGTAATAACTAAAAATAGGTGAGGGGGGGGTGGATGTACCAGGATGTCAGGTTCAGGGGGAAAAAAAAATTATGAGAAATAAGTGGATGAAGTCATAAGCCACTGCAAGTTATTGCTGCCCACCGGTCTGACTAATTAACTTTGCCTCGGGGTAATAAATACACTTGTCGGTTTATTTATTAATCCCACACCGCAAAGACTCATCTGATATCTTTATTCCAATATCCGGAGTTTTTTCATCATCCCAGAAGGTGTCCAACACCGTTTCACGTTTCAATTCATTTCGGTATTCAAGAATTCATTTATAGTCTAAATCGATTATTAATTCGTTGAACAAATTAGATGATAATTACACGGGGACAGCCAACTGTCATTTTCAGGAAATCAAATCTGAACTACGTATGTCATTTTATATTTACATGGATCTGATTTTGATTTGAAAATTAGAGTTAATGGAAATTAGATTGAACTTGATAATTTTCGGTAATGAAATTTCAATGAAAAATCCCGGGGAATTAATATTTGAATAAATTTTGAATAAATGACTTCATGGAGTGGGTCAGTGGATAATTAAATTTTCTCGGTGGAAAAATTTCTCTTCCTTGAAATAATCCGCGCAGCTTTCCCCGATTCACTAAATGACGCGAAAAATTGTGTTTTCACAAATAGCAAGATGCCACGAAGCCCAGATAAATTAACCCACTTCCACAGAAAAAAGAAGAGCCGTCCTACACATTGTCGTAATGTTTATTTTTTCGGAAGGGCAAAATAAAATGGAATAAAATACGAATAGGTGAACGTGCCGGGAATTAAGAACACCTTTAAACGAGCCCTCATAAAACTGTCATCGTTCGTTTCTCCTGAGGCTAATGTGTTGCATCGAGAGAAAAAAACGGCATAACACCCGCCGTATTTATGGTTTTTAATTTAGGATTTAATTCCAGTGGAAGTTTTTCAAAATTCCGAGTGGCGATAGGCCGATGCTAATGAAAACCCCCCAGACAGAATTCCGTTCTCGTCCCCAGGAACTTTTCCAATTCCAAGACTCCTTGACTATTCCTCTGGTATTTTTATTCATCTTTTCAATTCTAATTTTTGTTGCGTCTAGTTTCTCCAATCTCCCTGCTTAATTCAGAGCGTTCGCAGAATTTAAAAATGAAAAGAAAAAAAATATACAGGAATGACACCTGAAAGATAATTCGCGGAAAGATAAAATTCTGGGAAATTTCGTAAACGATTTCGTAATTTCTCTTTGTGAATTACGCGAATTGTTTTGTAATAATAGAATATTTCTGGTGGTGTCTCAAAATTTCATTAGTTTGACAGGAATGAGCGGTTAATTTCATCGCATTAAATCTTATGAAATCCCGGACGATTCGCTCATATTACGTAAGCACATAACATTGTAATGCGCATGAAGCTGTGTAATTGAGATGACATATACAAAATCAGAAGTAACATGTGAGTAATGTGAGACATAGTGCGCGGTTGCGGGGGCTAACTGTAAAAATACATACAACCTACTGCACAGCCCACCCCAGGTCTCCCATATTTCATGGTGTACACTTTTCTCTCGTTTTTTACTGGTTATAATGATGATGAATAATAGTGCAACGGAATTGTTACAAAACAACTACGGAAAAATGAGTAAAAACGAAATGAAAAAAGAAAGCGCGAAACGAGAAAATCCGGAGAAACGGTTTTATTTTCAGGAATTGATGAATTCTCGAGGGAGTCAACAATTCAACAATTTTACGGATTTTTTTAATGAATAATTGAACTAATTTCAGGGATTTATTTACTCTTTGAGTTTTCGGAATGGCGAATTTTTATTGGAAACGTCGGAAAATTGAAAGATTATCACTTGTTCTGATTTGGAAAATGGGAAAACACCGAAAAAGTCTGACCCCAGTTTTATTGAACCGATAAACCACCGGAAACTGGAGCGTCAGACCCCCCATCAATGCCCAGAAGGATGTAAACGATGTCGACAATTGAATTCACTCGATTCGATCGTAAATTTACTGTTTACGATAAGTGACAGTAAATTGTCAATGTTTTACTGAGCCCTCTTGAGAAGGAGACGGGAAATAAAAAACACCTGGACAGTAGGGAATAAAAAAATAACTGAAAGTTTTGGGTTTCTGTCGTCTAGCCGCTTTGACACGCAACACTGGGTACACCTTGATCGATGGTACGTAAAACGGGTACGAGAGGAAAAAAAAAACTTCAGACTGAGGTGTCGAGGATGTGCAAGACTGCCTCCACAATGTCTCCGGTGTTTCGTCATCCTCTCGTGAATAGCGTTTTCTGTATTTCCCGGAATTATTATTATTCCCCACAAAAGAAAAAATCAATCAACTCTATAAACAATTGTTTTTAAAACGAATTTTCACGTTTTTTATACTTCACGTGCACTACGTTTCATAATTCTCTCACGAATAATTTCATATCGAGTATTGAAAAAATAGCAATTGAAACGATCGGTACAAAAATAGAAGACAATTATAAATTCCCTGTTATTTCCAATAATGCATGAACGTGATGATCATGTTCTCGACTTGGTAGGACCCATTGACTCCTCAATTTATCTCCCTGTTAACTGAATCCTGTCAAGTATTTGAATTTCAATATCAACTACCGAGTCGATAGTTCCCCGAATACCGAACCAGGACCATCAACCCCATCGTTTATGGAGCCGATTAACGAACACGAATTTCGGAGCATCTCTTCTGAATGTGCAAGCCCGAACCGACACTAGGTTGCTTCCTAACTCCTCATGGAAATGATCGCATGACGAGAATGTAATATCGTCTCGTCGCCAAAGTCGTCACACCTACTCTACTTTCCCCCAACCCCTCAAACCCCCTCCCATCCCCTCCTGCATGTTCAACCCCACGTAATATCCTCTCAAAGACTCACCCCCTGCATCCGAGAAAATATCCGATTCTTGTCTCTTTTCACTCCCTCACGGGCGTCAGTCGAATTTCATGAAGACATTTTATATTTTATTTCGATAGACAACTCCAACTCGACACTCGGTGAAAATTTCTAGCTACCACTTTCACTGTCTACGAGAACTCTATCACAACCTCCAATTATACCCAACAATGCTGAACCCAAATAACTGATTTACAGAAAATCCTTGATGTTATCATTGTGGAAATGCTGAGCATACGTCAACGATTGAATTTCGAGGAAATTGAATGGAGACTAACGCAATATCCTGGCTTTGGGTGCGACATCAGCCATCCGTTGGCGGATTAATTTCACCGTATGCACGTTAATCATCATTAACGCTAACCCAAGAGCTGCTGATCTGACGCACACCATCCAGACACATACAAATATACAGGGTAGAAACGACGGGGTGTTAAAGCAACAGGATGCATACCTTGCACCATTGGGCCATAAGTTGTCGGGAATGCAGGTCCAGCGGTCGTAGCAGTTTGCATGGTCAAATGCAAACATGAGGCTGACACGTGTGCACCAAATGCACTGGGTCAAGAAACACTGGGACGAAAATTTTTCACATGTCAATACTCCAAGTCCCCATTATTTTTCTCACTGAATTTTTCAAAGGAAAACCCAAAAAAATTACTCCCATTCTAAATGAAAAAACAGAACGAACCACTGAAAAACAGACGTAAAATGACGGCTCTCTCCCAGTTATCTCAACGAGATTTCACAACTCGAGGTAAAATACTTCGATAGCTATGCGGAAAATAGGGTGAAGCAAGTCAGTGCTTCTGATTTATAGGAATTCCACGGTAAGAGGTAGAGAAGTTATTGGATTTATTGAAGAACCGAGAGAAAAGTGAAAAGCCGAATGTTTTATTTTTTCGATTCATCCCATTGATCTTGTCCCTCTAGTTCCACGAACAAATAAAATAGTC